ATGATTTAGCGTACGTTTTTGTTTTATTTATTTATTTATTTTAATGCATTCAAGATTTTTAAAATATATAAATATTGATGCACAAATTTTTTTTGAAAAACAAATAATAAATAAAATGGATTAATTAATTATTGGGAAAATACAATATAAATGCGGGTAAACAAAAATCCATTCAAAATTTAATCTAACTCCGATTATATTTTACAAACAAATCCATTTTTGCATAATCATTAGATCTCCCAAAATAATAATAATGATACTAGCGTGGTATTATTACTCAAATTGGCATATTTCTTTCTCCCACACACTTGCTGCTGGCTTAATTAATATCATTAATATATCATCAAATCGATCAAATTGTTCTTCCTAATATTCGCTTTTCTATCATAATCATTCCACCATATACATATATCCATTTTCATTTTCTCTATTCACCACACACCCAAATATCAATATGTGATTATTCATTTTTATCACCACCACATTTAACTATGAAACAGGAATACATAATTACGCGAGAATTGATTGGTGCAAGATTATTATTTATGAAAAAATGAATCGAGATTATTAAAACAGAGTAAATATATCAATCATAATTATATAAAATAGTATTTTATATATATATATTTGTCCTGAAAAATAATATAGACAATTAATTCTTTATCTTTAATGTTTCTATATTCGTAGATGCTTCCAAACACAAACATTTAAAGTCTTTGTATTGATTACTATTTTGTAAAATATAAGGTAGATTATAACTCATATATATATCCATATATATATAACAGCAAATATATATCTCATTCATTTCATTGAAAGAAAATATATACAGCAGTACACGACGCCACAAAATAATCTTGGCGGTTGTGTTCAAAGAATCGTAATCGTAATAGTGTGTTTAGACCAATAAGAAAGATTCTTTGAATTTCTATGTTTGTATCATCTTTCATCGTTGGGTACCAAAGGTTCTTTTTCTTTGTTTGTATAACGTACGTGTACATTAATTAATTGTCCAAAGTTCTGCGGACAACCTTTTTCGTAATAGTAAACATCGTCTCTGTTAAATATGGTTTCATTTAATATCAAGACTATGCGTGGTTGGTTTATAAAAAAAAAAAACAATATCATTATTATTTTACTAATTATAATTAACGCCACCACAATGTCAAAACTTCGCATCGTTCAGAAAAGACTGACTACTCTATGTTCTTACCTACTTTACAAGAAAGTTAACGTGTATTTTCACTCGCTTATTCATCTCCGGCAGGAATATCTATTTTTGAGAATTGTTGTCATAATCGAAATATTGTATTTATTCCAACATTTCAGTCTTTTCCTTCCATTCATTTGCTCATCTGCTTTATAAAGAGGTTTTGACTCAAAATTAGTATATTGAAAATATAAAAGTTGGACAGGCAATAGAGGTGTATAGTAAAAAAAAAATAGCGAGTCTTAATGATAAGCTTTAATCACCAAAATAAGTTAGCTATAAAGGGTAAGGTAATGATGATCAACAATAATTAATTCCTTCTAACGAATTAACTTTTATGATTATAAGTAAAAAACAGGAAATGTTTCAGGATCACAAAAATATCATAGAAACCTACCAAATCACCGTTTGGTTTCGATAAACTAGTAGAGATTGAGGAAAAGAAGACGGATAATTAAACAAAACTTGGAACCAAAGAAAGGAAGGTTTAAAATGAAGGTTGTACCATTTGGTGATCAAAAGAAATAGAAATCCAAAAAGGAATTCTAAAGGGTCTCGACCAAAACTTCATCTTTTACTGAGAGAAAAGAGAAACCAAAGGAGGATTAACTCTTACCAAAATGATCGAAAGAACTAAACCAGAAACGATGACAATAATAAAACAATATTAACAATATATATAACAATCAACACAAACTTGGCAATTTCAAGAAGGAATTCCCGTCCATGGAAAATTTTACTCTAAACTGAAAGAAAATCAGTAAATGAAGTTTTCGACCAAAGAAATAAGTACATAAACGGAAAATCAATATCAACAAATAATCCCAAAGGACAAAATTTTGAGAAAAAAAAGGGGCGATGAACGATCGGCAGTAAATATTTTTAAGCAGAAGTAAATCATATCATATATTGACTGCCTTCTAATTGGCTGTCCAGTGGCAGTAATACAGTCAACCCCCTCTAAGTGCACCCCTCCTTGGAAACATATCACTGTTTTTCATGAACGTGCATTTAGAGGGGGTAATTTTATAAGTTTGGGAATGAGACATGGCGTGCATTTAGAGAGGGTGCACTTAGAGGGGGTTGACTGTACATATTTTTAATTTGTTGCATGGCATCACCACCACCACCTTTGTTTTTTAAAAAAAATCTCATCAATGTCATTATTTCTGAGAATTTAACTCTTTGGATCCTTGTCAAATGGAACACTTTACCACTTGAATTTGGGCGATCTTGCACGTAAACTTTGCCATCCTTGAAAACATCGAACCAAAATTCTTACCAGCAAGAATCAGTCAATCCTCTCAAAAAGATGGATGTTCTTGTTACGAATTTGAACACAACTAACCACTGCAAGTACTCTGGTTGTACGTTATCCACTGTCTAATTCAAGGTAAAATAAATATTTTTCTGCTTTTATATATGACTGCAGTCAAAAGACTGGTTTGATGGAAGCCGTGGTTTTTGTTTCATTGAATGTTCTGTTCATCTTGAACAATTGGTCTGTGAAACTAAAAGAGATGTCTTTAACAAAGGTGGTGCTCAGAACATAGTGCTATGGAGGTAAACGAAAATGTTGCAAATGTTGTTGTCCTGCTTTCATATTGTCTGCTTATTGAAATCTAACCTACAAGAAATTTTAGAAAATAAGCCAAAAGCGCAAAAGAGAGATGGGAATAATGAAGATCAAAATTTTAATATATGGTATTGTAACAATCCTTGTTTTTGCGAGTTTGATAATGAAGATATGATGGATGCAAAGCAAATTGTTAAATATACAGATGCAAGTTAATGGCATGGATAGAAAATAAAAAAATTCATTTATTTTATTGCATGTAGTGTTACTTTTGCTACAGAGAGTCACAGGAAACAAAAAGAAAGTGGTCGAATGTTTTTGACTTATCAAAATATACAGAAAACTTATTGAAAGAATAATTATAATATATCAAATTGGTACAGATTTTTTTCTTTTGTTAGGAAGGCAGATTCTATTTCTAGATAATATGTATAATAATAGATGACACATAGTAAACTTATTTCCAAAATTTCAAATGACATTAAAAGTTTTATTGGTGTGTAAATGACAATTCCATATTTATCATAAATTAATATTTTTTTATATATATTTTGAAAACTAAGATAAGCAAGAATCAAAAGATACTGACTGATTAACAATTGTTGTTTTCTCCTAGACGATTATACTCGTTTGGGTTTAGTTAGATTCAAGGAAATCAGCAGTTAGTTATAGAGAGGGAGGGTATTTGACCTGCACTTTTATTTAATCACACACACTTTGCGAGATTGATGTGACTTCAATTCAAGAAGAAAAACACAGAAAATACTTGTTAGACCTCCAAATTTAAAATACTGGTATAACGGGGGAAAAATAAAATATTAAGTAAACGCCATTTGATTATGGCGTGACCAAAACAAAAAATCCCGAAAGTTTCAGTTTAAGTAAATGAATTAGCATCTTGTATGTAGATTGATGCTTTTATAAGAATAGTCAAATAAAAAATAAAAAATACATACATTAAAGGCCCATTTCGTTATCGTGGGGATAAATGGCTTACAGGAAACTTTTTTAAATGTCCAATAATAAATTTTGCTCGTTATAACGGAACAACTTAATCTCTTTGTTGTGACACAATGATTAGTTATAGTGAAAATCACATGATCATGATCACAGGATCACTAAATCTAAATGATAAAAACTTTCTTTATGTTATAAATACATAAATGGAGAAATATAGTAGTCCATCTGAATATTGTATTGCTAACAATTTCAAGTATCAAAATCATTAGTTTCAAATTGCTATCTAAAAATTAATCAAAAACGAGAGAGAGGAGGAGTTGAAGCTTGCCTTATATTTTATGGATGCGGCAAACTTTATCTTCAATTCCTGGAGACACGTTGAAATCAAAAGGATTGACACAAGACGAATATAATGGATCAGATGGTTGATTGTCAAAATTCAAATCACTATCATATAAAACAATACTCCTTGAAAATATTGTATTGATTATAATATATATATATTATATACTGTGTATATATATATATATATATATTGTTTATAAATATTGTATATAAAAAAAAAACTCTCGTTACAGTGAGCCTATTAAATTTTATATAATATGTTCACTATAAAGAGATTTTCGCTACAGCAAATAAAAGTTGAAGAACCAATAGGTGAGTTTTGGCTGAAACAAGATTTTTAAGCTTTTTTTTTAAAAAAAAAATTTTTTTTTGCGGAGTTGCCACAGTTGTTATTGGTGACTATTATAGAAAAGATTTGTGGACTCGAAATTGTAATATTTAATCGCAACTCTCCGCAATTGTCCGCAATTCTGTAATTGAATAGATAAATAAATAGCAATAAACCCCAAAGTGAAAATGCTATTCAGGAACTTTAGAATAAAGTTTGAAGAATTGGAAAGGCAAAGAAAAACCTGAATTGACTAAACGGGCGAACAAATTGAATCTAGATAACTGGGGAAAAAATAAAGCTCAGCATGAGTTTATACTTTTGGATTGTTTATTCCAATTATCATATGGAAGATTAAATTGTATGTATGTCACTGCCCACGCTTGTATTTCGAATAATTTTAAAAATGTCACCGCCTCATCATTCAATTCCCTCGAGTTTTGTAGTTGTAGTACAAAAAAAATTCTTCCTCGAGTATTTTTTTTTTTTTTTTTTGCATTATTTATTTATGTATGTGTAAATAATCTAAACAACATTATTTTACCATTTGGGGAAGAAGAAACATCCTCCTCAATCGAAGATTATTGTTGTAATGAGATTATAAGGAATTCAAAACATACTTTTTGATGGCTTAACGATAACTAAAATAATTTTAACCGTCAAAAAAAAAAAAAAAAAAGAATAAATGGAAACAATATCATTATTATTATAAAATATACGGAAGTTTTCGAGTTATCGCAAATAACAAGTTTTCCACGAATCATATCTTCATATTTTGAGCGAAAAAGTATATTAGCGATAGCAGCGCCTTTTATTATTTTTTTTTTAAAAAAAATTATAAATAAATGTATGCATGTTTTGAGGGGGAAAGAATTGATGATTGCTAATAATAAATTATACATATTATTATATACGATCAATAATAATATACAATATATGATATCGAATCTTAAGTAATGGACTAAGGAACTTATCACGTCACGTCGTAAATAATAATAGAGAGCAATTATATGTTATATTATACCAATGATACTAATTCCTTATTATTTTTATTGTCAAAGAAGAGATTGAAAAATAACAAAACATTAATAACAAGTTATTGGGATAAAAATAAAGTCAAGGTTATAAATATTTATTAATAAAATAATAATCCTTCCAATACTAATCCCTTATTATTTTTTATTATTAAAAAGAGATTAAACATCGTAACAAGTTATTGGGATAAAAATAAAGCCAAGGTTATAAATATTTATTAATAAAATAATAATCCTTCCAATATTAATCCCTTATTATTTTTATTATTAAAAAGAGATTAAGCATCGTAACAAGTTATTGGGATAAAAATAAATCTAAGATCGTAGATATTTATTAATAATTAACATTTAACAATATAAATAATAATAATAGAATAAATAAAACAAATTAATAAATAACCTTCTTTCCATATCTTTTTTATACTTGGGAATCTCAAGGTTTTGTTTTTTTTATTTGAGTCTTCAAAATATTTTATTGTCACTTTTTTCCCTTTAATCGAACCAGGATTCTCTTTGTAATAAATTCTTTGTTTATTAGTAAAACCTAAATTTACACTTGTAAGATTATCTAATTTTTGACAGTAATCATTATTACTATCATAATTTCTTTTATCAGAAAATAATTCTATTTTTATAAATGCATTCCTTACCTCTATAATTGACTATAACACTAGAAAACGTTACTCCATCTTCTGACCTGTTATTTTCAATTGGAATTACCATTTTACCGAGTTTCACATCTTCTACTATCGCTTCAATTTCTCGAGATGGTTTGAATCTAAGATATGAATTACTTTTATAAAAACGTAACAAATTAAAATTATATTATCATCAAGTATATAATATCTATTAATAATAATATATTTGTATTTTCATGTATTTACCTCCTTCTACCTTCATAACCTATATCTTTACGAAGAATAATGCTTTCGCAACCTTCATTAATCCCCTCTTCTATAAATTTCTCTAATACATTTTCATTCTTGATTTTATGTTGATCAACTAAACTAATTTTTTCAAATTCTTTATTTTTCTTTGCTTTGCAAAATAGTTTCTTTGTAAATTCATATCTTTCCCCAAAAGATCTATAACCTTTCCTATCTAAAAATTCTTTTTTAGTCAAACAATCAAAAATGAAATATTTCACATCTTTAAATTGTAATTCATCAGCATCCCCAACATCACCATTATTAGTATTGTTAATGTTACATCTATCTAATAGTTCACCATCTAATACTATTCCATCAGACCATTCATCAGTAGAAAAATATTTTTTATTTTTTTCATAAAGATTCTTGACTGCTTCTTCAACCTGACCTAAATTATCAAATGGTTTTCCATTTTTTGAATAAGAAATCACGGATTTTCCATTTGATGATATTTTGGTTATACATCTTATACCATCCAAACTCTTTGATGCGTACCAATCAATTTCATCTTTAAATATTTTTTTTAAATTTTGAATGTTCCTTGCTTGAGGTAATGCAACTTGAAACGTGATAAATTCTTCTTCCAAAAAAAGTCTATTCAGAATAGTTTTATTCAATCCTATTTTAAGATTTTTGTCTATTATCTTGAACATCAAATCTTTGTTTTCTTGCTCTTTACAAACCTTGTGCAGAAAATGGCAAATTGCAAAAATAGCCCTTGATCCAGTTATCTCTCTTTCATTTAAAGCATCCAAAAGACTGATAACATCTTGATAAGTTTTGATATTTTGAAATTTTTCATTTGGTTTTAGAAAAAAATCTGGTGATTTTTCTTCCATGAAACTTCTGATTCTTTTAGATGTAACGTTAAATCTTGCAGGTCCATAAATCCTATAAAGAATCGGTAGGCAATTGGAATACTCGTTACAAATGAGCCTTTTTTCTTTTACATGATTTGCTCTTGAGAGTCTCTCAATAAATTCCTTTAAGGTATTTAATTCTAGATTTTTTTGTGATGATGATGATGATGATGATGATGATGATGATGGTGATGATGATGATGATATTCCTGGATGTTGTCCTTTATATTTTATTTGTCCAAATATAATTTTTCGTGTTAAAGTAAAATTTGAATAGTTTTGTTTCATATAATTTGTAAAATGATTATTCTTCTTCATTGTAATTATAATATTGTAACAATAACTGCGTAGAAATACATTTTGTCGATTTTCTTTTTAATATATATAATAATAATTTAATCATTAAAAAAATTTTTTTATTTATTTTTAAGAATCATCATTGTCATGTTCTATTTATATATTGGAAAAAAAAATTTTTTTTACGACAATCATATTAATATTAATATTGCCCGAAGAAATCAAAGCATTCACATACTAGAAACAATTAACCAATTAAAATCAAGAATTCAAAATTTTTATAGATAAACTCACGCCAAACTTATTCCTGGCCTTGACTTTTTTATCTGGCTTAATTTCAATTGGTTTTGCTTTTTTTATTTATCCTGGCTAGCATTTTTGAGCATTCAGACTTTTCTTAATTTAGCTATGACTCTTGGACTCACTCACTATAAGAGCCACCTATATTATTTTCTCTGCTAATTCAAACATGAATTTTCATATTCTCATCCATTCGTTCGCCTATTTTTATACTTTGTCATTAATTTTTTTTTATAAGACTTCTTTTCTCTCAACCATATCTAATAAATATGCATGATTTATATGACTCTTTATGGAAAATTGAGAAATGATTACTTTTGTTATGGCTATTGGTCTAGACTATTCTATATAAAAATATTAATTTGAACCCTAAGAATTATAGAGCCATCAGAAACATCTACAAATCCTATATGTTTTTAAATGGCTGATACTAAGGCCATTGGAAGATATAAAGAAAGAATTACATATGATATTTACGAATAAACCGAAATATTAGAATAATATGACTTCTCATTGAAATAAACCAAGACCTATTTCCATCTCATCCTGTTCACAAATTTATCCAAAATTTTATGATAGTTGATGTCGTTATTATTTGTATATATTTTTTGTTATTAAAAAATAAATTAATCCTTGAAATCATTTAAATCGTTTCTTTTGAAAAAGCAAGGTCGAATCGACTTCCTAAATATAACAAACATGATGCGATAGAAATTCATTAGAATTGCATCTGGGGGTTTTTTTTTAAAATCGAAGCCTTATCGATGTCGGTAGGATTTTTCCGAAAGATATATAGAATATTTAGTGCATTGGCGGGAAGGAATAGTTCTATTAAATATGACATTTAAACTATATTCAATATATTGTTAGGTTTTGCAAACAATTTTTTTTTAAGGAACCTTACGACTTTGATTATAATTTTATTTTATTTTAATGTATCTTTTATCTTTTTCATTATCTTATTTCATTTTTTATTTTCCCTTTCAAAAATGGTTCTTTAAAGTTCAATTAGTATATCCTTTTTTTACTTGGACAATTTAAGAGTACAAATTATAAATATGCTAAATAACAACATCACCAACTGCTTACATTTTTTTTGATAAAGAAAATCCATTAGCAAAAATGGAAAAAAATTTAGAGTTCAAATTAAAAGATACCGAGTCTACAAGAACGAAGAACAACGGTCATCAAATTGGAACAAGTGCCTCAAGAAACGAACGATCAAACATTCAGAAAGTGCACTCAACAACTTTACGATAATTATTGTAATTATTGTTTAATGGATAGATCTGAGGGTAGTAGTATATATGGGTTTCTATGTTTTCATAGAAAGTGAAAAATTAGATATTTAATAAAATAATTTTCAACACTTTATAACCAACTAGCTTTTTGAAAAAATGGTAGTAGCATCATTGCTAAAATAAATTTTATCATGAAAAAAGTTCAAAGTGTTACAAAAAGTTGCTTTAAAGTAACTGCCATCACTTAAAAAAATGTTTATTGTATGGCCATTACTACTCCTCACGAGCTTCGGGGTGTATTCCAGGCAAGTTTTTTATAGTTTTTAAACGAGTAAAATGAAAAGTTTTCTAAAAGAGCACAATAACAGTCTTGGAATCTGGGTGCCATGAATGACGAAACCACGGATTAATTTTCAATGAAAAGAGTCAGGTGTATCAGTCAACCAATAAATTTGAAATCTAATGATCTTCCAAAATAAAAATTTTATAAATGTTGCATAGTTCTTATTGTAACTAATGGGATTTAGTCAATATTGAAGGTCAAAGAATATTATTTGAAGAGTTGAATGATTATCAAATATGTAATTTTAATATTATAACTCTGTTCTTCTTTCTTACTCTTCCTCCATCTTGTTATTTTATTTTCATTAATAAGCAACTAATTAAATAATGTCCATGAAAAGTTTTTACTGAAATATTAAAAAAATGTTCAAGTAAATGGTTAATCATGGTAAATCAAACGTTATAAATTTTTATTTATTTGTTTATGATGATTTTAAAAAAATATCATTATTAAAAAAAAAAAGTTTTATTACATTTCACCACATTCTATTCTCAAAGAATTTTCAATATTTTATTTTCAATTGATTTAGAAATTTAGAAAATCAGAAAATTCAAATAAATAACAATATATTTTACTACTTTTTTTTTAATATATCATCATCAACCATCACTCCTACTACTAATAGAAAAAGAACAACATTAATACGCTAGGAGAGAGGCTAAAAAAATTAGAAGAGATCCTAAAGAACCTAAAACGTCACCAAATGCATATATCCGTTTCTCCATATGGCTATGTATTGATTGATGGGTTGTATGGTTGGAATATTGGAGGGAAATAAAATCAATAACCTAGAAATTAATTAAGCAGATGAAGGGAAGGTAATTATTAATTAATATATAATGCAAACACCTATTCTTTATTATCTATTTATTTAGTCATATCTCTAGATGGGTAAGCAGGCTGATATGGCATGCCAGAATGGATAAAGGCCATATTAATTTCCAATGTTATATTGGTAAAATTATGATATTTTCATGGTGTATTTGAATTTTTATTATGATGTACATTATGATCACCTGATTTAATGTATATCAAGTGATCCAGAATATTGTTCTTCTATATTCATATTAATATTATTCTTGTTTTTTCTATGCTTGTATAGATAGATGAATTCTTAAAGGACTGCAAACTCAGGAAAACTTTGACCACATCATCTTAGGATTAAAGGCAGAAGAGGAGAGACGAAGAATCAAAAAGACGAATACATGGATATCATAATAAACCAGAAAAAAATAATCAATATTTTGTTGAGATTCTTACTTATATGTAACTAGTATTCAAAAATCAGTAGTAGCAGGATTTGATATTTTTTCTTCTTACCAGTAAAAATAACTTTACAGAATTTTAAAATTGATATTTGCCATGCAACATCCAATTCATCTTGATGCATCCTAAATAGTCTATTTAAGATGTACACTAGATCGAGGCCTTTATATTCGACTCTCATTGGAGCTTCAAGTCGGACTGAACTATTTATGGAAAATAAGTATATAATAGTATGAAAAATTGGTTAATGTTAATATAAAAAAATATTTACAAATGTGTTAGAATTTGCTGGGCGATATCAAGTGCTTCATAGTAACAAGGATTGAATCTTCCAAGAACATAGGACTTGCGAACTAGAGTTGGAATTTTAGCTCGGGTACATGCATCCTCAGTAAATTGTTCAATATATTGTACAAATTCGGAGGTTTGTTTCCAATTTTTCTTCACAATTACTTTTTCAAGCCAATTGAGTTGATCTATATTAAGGATCTTTTTAACTATCTTATACACTTCTTCGTCGAAAGATCTAGTATGCCATTAAGACATACTGAACTCATGTAATTTGCGCCCAATTTTTTTTCTTGATTTTGGAATTCAACCAAGATATCGAGCAACTTATTGCGAATTTCTACTTCATCCTAAACATCATATAAGAGAAGGTCATAAAAGACACAATACCTGAGAGAGATCTTCAATTTCCTTCGAATCTTGCACCATCTCAATCTCTTCTGAGTTATGAACTTCGCTTTCATCAGTTTCTACCTATACACATAGAAAATTTGAGTTGATATTTTTGTGTGCTAAACATTATCTTCGAATTGTATTTTCACATAAAATTACCGTTCAGTTATGAACTTAATTCTTGGTTTTAATAGTAATTCCTCATCATTTGCATTACCAATCCATTCACCTTGGTTCTTTTAGAATCAGTTGAAAGAACATCAGTCATCAATTTCGAGGGATGCTTTGCATAATGGGTAGTAGTATCTGCAACGTCATTATTACCAGCACTATCAAGACTCTTTTTTCCATTTGGTAATAAAATTATGTTTATATGCAATATATTTAGTAAATTTATTTATGATACTTTCTTAGAATTGAGAAACTCACCCTTTTTCGTAATTGATCTTCATACGAACTAAGATTCGAGACTTTTGAAATAATTACGTCTGTGTTGTCCAATATCTTTAAGCTACCAGATATATGAGTATTTATTACAGAAATCTACATAACATAATGAACGATTAAATATAATGATAAGAGTGAAATAAAATTGTGATCAATCTTGACTTACTCGTTCTTTTTCATTGATAATATTTTGCCAATAATTCATTAAAGACCTATTTAAAGTTTCTGATTTCACCTATGGAAAAAAATAATTAATTAATAAAAATGCTTTCGTGAATACCACAAAGCCAAAGAAAAAAGCAGGTCGCAATAGTGGCGCCTAACATGATAATTAGATACTACAAAGTCAACATGATAATTGACCCAGAGCGCAACCGCCATCACTTGGGGCAGCCGATCACTGACCAAGAGCTCCCTTTGTTTATATTTTTAGAAAAAAAAGAGAATACAGAACCTTTTCATATATATTATTGTATTTTTCAGGAATAATATCTTTTATATTTCTTAAGAATCTTGTTTCCCATGCCACTTCTAAGCCGCACCAGTTATCAGTATCGGGTGGAGATTCTATAATCATTTTCTGGTATAGATCTATGAACTCTCTAAATGAACAATGCTCATTACGCTTTCTTATATAAGAACAAGTAGCTAAAGAGATGTTTGGTTAGTAAATAGCCAAAAGAAAATGTTGGGTAAGTTGAACCACTGTACAATTAGAACTTACACGTATAACCGTGATAATATTCTTCTGACATTTGAAGAGTTCTATGTTATTTAAGACTTCTTTTTTATTGATTTACAGGTTAAAGTTAGTTATTACAAGATTATTGTCATTATAAATCAAGAAGAGATTGATGATGATTTATGATTTAGAAATTCCGCGATGATCTGATTACCAAATTCTTTTTTGAATTTTAATGTCATGTGCAACCAATCAAATGTTTTTGTTGAGGTAATTTATTATTTTTATTTATAAAATGAATCAGTTATTTTTCTTTTTAAATTAACATATTTTTCAAATAAATAATTAGCTAATTCTTTTATTTAATAATAAACCTTTATTAATGAAAGTAATTTATAGAACTCAAAAACAAAGAACAATAAAAACAACTTTGTTTAAACAACAACGCATAATCAATCAAAGATCCTTTTAAATTCACATGAAAGTCACGGGCATGCGTTTATAGAGGGATGAATGTGACTGGAAAATTACCGTGCATAGAGGGTGTGCATTTATCTCTAAGTCCCAAGGTTAGGACCAAGACATAGCATGCACTTATGGAGGGTGCACTTATGGAGGCCAGACTGTACATGAATCAATTCGCTTTTACGTTTTCTATTTTCCAGAAATCCATTATTCCAGATTTCGAAATACCTAAATGAAATCAGAAAAAGAAATGCAAAAACTGTTTAAAAAGGCAATATATCAAATTTATTGTTATTTATCACTTTATAGTGATTCTGTTTTATTGTGTGTTTTTCTACTTTTTTCCTACGTTTTTAAAAATCTAAAATTTTCAACATGGCAAAATTAGTAGCAAAAAAATTGAATCTCTTTTATCAGAAGCCCTTTGGAGACTGTTTGCAGTGCCTCTATTTTTTATTAACAATGAACAATGATAAAGTGGGCGAATATAATACCCAAATTTCATCCCTTTTTAGTTGGAAAATACTAAATTTATTAACATTCACAAGAGAAGTAAAATATAATTGAAAAACTTGCAACAATTTTTATAAATTTTATTGGCTAATATTGTTTTTTCACACAGGAATTATAATACACAAATGTAATGCAATTATTGGTTATTTTCTATCATTTGACTCTTTCTTTTTCAAATCCCTTCTTTTTTGATTATAATTATAATTAATATTACTCAGAAATTTAATTAGTTAACATCCTGGAAATTTAATTAGTTATCACTTTGGAAATTTACACCATTACTATTATAATTATATATACATTTATTATTTATATTTGTTTTTTTTTTCTAAATTCTTCATGGTTTTGGAATAAAGTTCTTTTACTGGTTATGATTTTTTTTTTCTTGGTAAATTTCATAGGTAATTCTTTCTTTTTTTAGACAAGTTTCTACTGTCTGTCATTTATTTTAAAAACATATGGAGCAATTTTTTCACCTTGTTCTTTCTTCAAAATACTTCTAATGGTGCTATAGTTGGCTTGGTCTAAAGACCTCCTGAATTTTTAAAGTATAGAAGTCACTTTCTGTCCTATCTTTTAAAAAAATAGCGTTATTAGTTGATAGAATAGGTCTTTAGTTTTAATGTAATAACGAGATATTTTTGAAAAAATTATTGTTGTAGAGTTCTATTCTTTTTTAGAACATGTACTTTACTATGTTCACGAGGAATTTGGCCGCTAGGATCATTACTAAATTTAGACCAAACCACAAAATCATTTCTAAATTTCGACTAGCACATGTTCATCATATCTAAATTTGGCAGTACGAAATAATTTTTAGACCCCATGTTGCCATGTGCTTGGCTGTGGAAGTTGATGTTGTATCTGGTCTTCTTTTTTCTTTTATTGAATGAAAATCATCCAGATTGTATACATATAAATGATTTTTCTATAGATATTTTGAATTAGTAAGTAGTGTGATATTTTTTAAAATCATTTAATTATGTACTTACCTGCTCACAAAAATACTCTCTTAATTTAATAGGATGCTTTTTTGCAATTTTTTTCCTGTAATTCTCCACAGTCTTGGCACATACTGATATTCCAGCACTTGCCATTGTATCAATTGCCTCCCAACAGGTACCTTTTGCTGCTAAATACAATCCAATATATAGTTTGTAATCATTTACAAACTTATTTCTCATTCCAGCCATTTGATAGCACAATGCCACAACTGCAGTCTTTCCTTCATTCTGATTGTATGCTGATCTGGTTTTTGGTATAAGTGCATCACACATTTCTTTAAAAAAACCTTTCAGTGGGGGTTGCTCTTCCTCAATTAGATCTTGAAACTTAATTGGGTCCAATTCAACATCAATGCCTTTCTTTCTTTGTAGGTTGTGTAATGCTTTTGTTAACATTTCCAAGTTATTGACAAGTCCTAAATTATTATTTACCTCTGAAAATAATTTATTGATTAATAAATTTGAGATAAGAAACTATTTTAAAGTGTCATGTAATAATAAATTTTACCAGCACCAATAGTTTCTCCACTATTTATATCTTTTGATTTATCATCTGATAGATCAGATGGTGGAATTTCTGTATTTTTATAACGGGTATATCTGTCAGGCTCTGCAATAGCTAAATAATGTGGATAGCAAATTGGTTGACCAATTTCCAAGTAATTATATGTAGGATAGGATCCTTTTTTTACTGCCTTATCATAGGCACATTTTGTAAATGTACGGTATCTAGATTGACTTGATTGGCAATTTTGGACAGAACAAGGACCATGGATTTTATTAGGCATATTAATGTTAAAATTAATAATTTTTGAACTTATATATGTAAATCTTGTCACCAATTGTTATCTTTATTTAAGAAAAAGTTAACTTTCAATTTGTTTATATACATCTAAGAATGTTATTACAAACATGTTATTAGCATGCAAGAATTGTAAAACAATGTGCAAAACATGTTATTTATCATGAAAAATATGTTATTAACATGCAAGGATCATAAAACAATGTGCAAAACATGTTATAAGCATGCAAGAAAACAACACACAAAACATGCAAAAATTGTGAAACAGCATGCAAATGTGTTTATTAACACAACAGAAATGTTAACATTCTATTTACTGGTGAAATAATGATTAGAATTGAATTTTATATATAT